AACAAGAGACTTGGTGGTCAAATTGGGAAATTTGGTTTTACTGGTATGTACACCAACAGAAAATTGTAAGCACCTAGCATTAAACAGTTCATATGGAATTCTTTGGGACTCAAAAGACAAGTTCCAAGAATTACAGCTGCTTAAGTTTAATTCATGAGCAAGCCTCCATGATTAAAATATATGTACCTTTCTTGTACATTGCACTCTACGTGATCAAAAATTCAAAAGAATAACTTTGGTTTAACTTTTGTGTTAAAATGGCTCTATTTAAAATGATTAAACTAAATGTGCTCCCTGGGTCAAGAAATGATAACATTTATGAGTTTAATGTAATCCTGTAAGTTGGGGCCTTGATCAATTGTCAATGGTGAGACCTCCAGAAACCTATCATTAGTATTATACTGCTCAATGTCCTGCTGTTACTAGCCGTAATGTAGCCTTGCTGCCTCACACATGTAACCGTGAACATGAAATTCATGAAAGGAGAAGTTTAGTGTAAACTGATACCTCTAACCCTAAGGCCTTTGTTGTTGTTACGCTGCATGCAGACTGGTCATAGAGTGAGTGACAGACAGTATGTGTTCATAGACTGCAGTTTAAAAGGGAAAGGTATTTTGTGCACAGTATGTACACATGTAACATAACAAACAGGCATAGAAGCTGTTTAAATGAACCATTCAAAGTCCTCTAAAATGCCTCTTTAACCTATGAATAAATATTACCTGCAAGTACAGCAATCAAACAAAGAAAAGCAATGACATAGGCTTAAAGACTTAAAGAAGAAAACACTTCTGATCTAAATTAAATTACACATTCATATCTATGAATGAGTAATTAGAGCACATAATACTTCAACATATTTACAAGTACGACAAACAGAAACATCATGTTAAAAATCTCTACATGTACGCTGCCTCATACATGTGCATATTTTTGCCGTACAAAGTATTACAAAAATTGCGCAACCTATCAGACAGCCGACAAATTCCTAACTGTAAATTTACTGAACAATACATGTAGGTCTAAAATCCCCTTTTGATGTCTGCTAAGACTGCTACTAGTAACTTCCTGTTACAGGACGAGACTTGAAGTCCCGTACAAGCATGGATTCTTAGTAGGTCCATGGAACAACTTACAAGTGAGGGGAATTCTGCCTCAAACAAGGAAGTGTTTTAAGTGTTGATGTCTGGCAAGGATTTAATACAATAGTTTGATTTGATTTCAAGTGGCAATAAGACTTTGTTGCCAGCAGGACTACTGTTTTTTATACTGAATAAACTATATTTTGAGAAAGTCAGTTTATACCAGGCATTCATTACTCCGATACATTATAAGTTATTTACAACAGGAAATCTTAAGTTGGAGGGAAAAAAAATTGTTGTCATTCCTACAGGTTAAAGGGAGTGTATCATGGCAAATACTGGTTAACGCCATCTACCTCTTCTTTTGGACTACTGCACTTAAACGAGTGGACTCAATTAACTGGGCCAGTGCACTAGCTTTCGCAAAACAGACCGGAGTTCTCCTCACCCTTCGGTTTCGCGTATGTTGCACACACGTGAATGCTGCGGTTGCGTCGTCCGTAGTCGTATTATACACGATTGGCCCCGGGTAAGGCCTAGAGAAAGACACATACCGGTAGTTTGTCATGACACACTCTCTTTAATACCTAACTGCATTCATACAAGTACCATTTGTTTAGCTGGAAAACGGTTGAAGTAGGTCACGCTTGACGGGAAATGTTATGATAGATCATACACTCATCAGCATACGACACAGGTGTAACGTAGGTGTCATTCCTACATTAAATACATTACCGTACGTTATCTAATTGCCTTCAGGTCTTTGGTTTAGCTGGAAATCAGTTGAAGTAGGTCAAGCTTGCCAGTAAATGTTATGATAGATCATACACTCATCAGCATACTGTATGACACAGGTGTAACGTAGGAGGAAAGATGATTTATCGTTAGACCGATGAGACAATAGGGTCAGTCTGTCTGAATGAGTTCATCTTCAAAACATATTGCTACCGTGTCATATTTACAACCTGCTGTGGTATGTTAACAGAATAGCATGTAGTCTAAAGTGACAGCCATGACATTTTCTATGTTGCTCCCTGCCGTTCTTTAGTCGAGTGAGTCACGGTCTAAATCCAACTGTATAAGGCTTGTCTCTTAAAGGTAGCGCTGTTCATTTACAGACACTCTCTAACTTGTATTTATCACACACACATGTGAGGAAAATGAATTATTGAATGAATCTAATATTTGACACCTAAGGTTGTCAAAATGTATGCATTCCTTTTGATTTCCAAGATCTCCTTTTGATTACAGTAGTTTATTTGAGGCGATACCGCTACTTCAGTACTTGTCCAACCTTTGCTCAATGGACTGAATTTCTATTCTTTAATTTTATTCTTCTCAATAATGATTTTTATAAGGAACAATAAAGGTATACAGAAATGTACACTCCTTGAAACTACACCATATACATGTAGGCCTGATATACCTGAATGACAGAAAGATAAATACTCTGTGATTGCACACATTCACATACACATTGCAGAAAATATGTAAAACAAACTTTCAGAAAAGTCAATAATAAAGGCATTTGGGTATAATATCCTGAAGCTATAATAGGCCTTAACTGTAAGCCAAGTATTAATCATGTTTTGAATGTCTCCTTGCAGGATTAAAAAAAAAAATCACATCATTTATATATATTTCAAGTCTATTCTAACTCTAGCTCTAAACATAGATCATGTACTAGCATTGTTATTGTATCCATGTCCTGAAGAAATGACAAATTGTGAGAACGAAATGCTACGATTTGTCAATACTGTCATAATTATGATGAGCGAAACACTTTGTTAAGCCTACTAAAAATGCCAAACAGTCAGCCTATAATTCTCATTATCAACAGAAACTGAAAGTACATGCTATAAACTAATGGAGTATAGTAAATATCACCCTGAAGTACATGTATGTAAAAGGTATCTTGACTTTTAAGTGAGGAGGGTGAGGGGGAGGGGGAGGGACCATGAGGGGGAGGGGGCGTAAGGGGAGAACGGAAATAGATAATGCATTTCTCAAAGATAGCTGATGACCCAGAGTGTGAAATAAACAGGAATAATAATTTCTTCCAGTTTAATATATAACAGCAATTTTTGAATAAAATTATTATTGTCTCTATTCCTGTTCCAGCCTCCCACAAAAAAAAAATTCTTAACATTTTTGTCTAATATTTCATTAACTAACCCACGACACAGATTCTTAGTTTTTAGTCTATTAAGACAACAAATGTTTCCCCTGACAAATAGGCCTGCCTACAAACTCCTATCCGGTCCTACTTAATAAAGCACTTGCTTCAGTGTGCTGAAGGTATGGGGAGAATGCACATTTCACCAACTCTGGCAACTCCTGACTGAACACTTGTGACAAGATAAACGGCGGAAGAGTTCGCTTGACTGCCCGACGGAAAACGCTTTCTGACAGACTGAATTAGCTCTGGGTGTAATGAATCAGAGACAATTGGACTGACGATGCCAAGCCATCCCATGCTGCTGTATGTCAGTAACAAGATTAGCCCAATGTTTCAGTTTTTAACAAGTGTATTATAAAGTAGCGCTAACATACTAAGTGAAATGGTACCATCAGTTTGCCCTCTAATCTACATGAATTCAACATTTCTGAGCGAAAACAGATTTCTTTTTTTCATTTAAAATGGCTTTTGTTTACATTTTATTAAACCTTCATGTACGCCAATGGACCAATGGATCGTAGAAGTGTATATTTCATTATTGAGAGCATAATGAAAAATATTGAAATAATTACAAGCTTTAAAATGTTTAATTACAACCCACCAATCCCTAAACACCTTCGCCTGACTACTGTCCACTACCAGTCCGGATACGGCTAAATCAGTTGGAAGTAAATCGGTCGCAACGATGAACACCACATTTTGTTCTACATGTATATTGGTCAATGATTTGGCAAAATACTAATGAGGAGGCGAAAGTATCCAGCATAGCTTTCGCATCCCAATGCCAGAAATCCAATGGATACATTTATAAAATGGAATTATTTTCTTTCCTATCATGCAAATGAAACTGAAAGAAAATCCATTCTAGAATACAATCCAAGAAATGTCATATAAAATCCCCTTTTGGATGCCCAGATGCCCTTACGATTAAATAGCCTACTAAAAGTGTACCTTTGCCATAATAACATTATGTAGTAGTGCTGTAACCAAGGTAACTCCTTGCTGTAACATACAATATATGCACACATCACAAACTTGACTGTTCCTATTCCCATTACAAAATTCATTCTATCTCGACTCTGAATTTAATTGACTGTATAAGGTCAACCATTCAGAAGATTTCTTTTTCCTCATAGCAACCATACAATTTATGGTAAATCAACAAGTCATCGAAATCAGTCAAGTGTCGTGTTGCAGAAAATGAGCAAGGCAGGTGGGGAAAAAAGAAAGAATACAGCAGTGAAGAAGGGAGAACATGCAAAATTACTCTGGCTATAGAACATCTTTCCTTAGATAACATGAACATGTGTAGTTAACACCTTCTTGTACTAAGAACAAATTCTCTTTGCCTGAACCTTCCCCATTGCACTCCACACAAAATATTCATCTCAGGACCCTGAGTTTGCTCATAACACACTTGCATGCATGAACCAATGGAATAATCTTGAATCTTGAATCTTTCTCAATCTCCCAAATTTCTGAATAGTACGCCTACTGTACGTACATTTAAAAGATTTTCATGGAACCTCTCACAGTGAAATTAAAAAATCTTCAAGTACGAAATGCTTAAGAACGTACAGGTGCTGAGTGTGAATGAGACCTTTGCCTCTATCCACCATCTCTGGCTATTTAAATGAAATGTTTATAATGAACGTACAGGTGCCCAGTGTGAATGAGACCTTCGCCTCTATATATCCATCATCTCTGGCTATTTAAAGCAGTTAAAGAAGGCAGGTTACCTTGAAATGGTGATGTGTGCTCAGGTGAATAATTATGCCGATTTTCCGGATCTGTAAATTCCAAACTGCCCCTCTGACTTCCTTCTCTCGATCTCTATGCTCTTGTGAAGTACTGCGACTGAGCTGGCCAGGTAGATCTGTGGCAGAATCAAAGGAAACAACAGATTATATTAGCGGTGTTGCCACTTACCGTAAGTGAGCAATGTAAAAAAAGAAATTCAACAATACTTAAAGATCAAGTGCCTGGCAAATATACTCTGTAAAAATGAGACTTTTTGCAACTACTGTATCACCAAATATAACAGCATGGATGCAATAGAAAGAACAAAATATTTCTCATGAAAATCAAAATTTGCAGGAGGCTAATGAATAAAGATAAAAACATCAAAAGTAGTCCAACTCCTCTAACTTTAAAACTCTCGCTGATTTTGCCAGGAACAATGTGAATATTCAGGCATGAAGGAATGAGGAAACTGTTTCCAAACGTCATAAACTATCAGCGTAAACTGCACAAACCTTTCTCAAACTCCTGAAATTTTCTGAATCAAAAAGAGATGGTAATCAGAACTTATTTCTCTGCCACATTCAGAATATTTGACAACACCTAGTAGCAGTGCAGGGAGAGAGAGAGAGAGAGAGAGAGATGAGAAAATGTACCGGTATTTACTATTTACTGAGCAGCGCAGTGGGCATCAATTCACTGCACTCAGCAGCTACACACAATCTGAGGTGGAGTATCCGATTACATGCCTACTCCAGTACATGATCTGAATCTAGTATGCGAGAACTGAGCACATTGTGCACATCTTTAACATTACATTGTATGTGGAGATCAGAAATTCATCAAGAAAAAAAGTGCAACTATAATACTATATACATTGTATCTTATATTCACATTTAACAATTTACTCACGAGACAATCATTCATGTTAACATAGTAGAAGACAAACTTATAAAATAATAAAAAATAACTTAAAAAAGTAATCATTCAAGTCTTCACAATGCAAGGGTGTAACTCCCTCAACAGAGTATAATTTTCATTTTGAAATTATTTCCTGAGTCTAAATCACTATAGATCCATTGTTAAATGACAACAATGACATCCTGTGACACCTAAACTGTCAAAACAGTAATGGAAATTAATTTTGGCATCCAATCAACCTGTTAATTTAATAAAGAATAATTGTTTCCATAGCTCCTAAGTTTTGATTCATGACACATCAACTGATTTGTATTACAATTTAGACTAATTGATACATATCAATGAATGACTGAATTGTTAATCATTTGAAAGGTACATGTATATTATACTTGGCAGCAATATAGTTTCATTTCTTTTGTTGACAAATTCTTTTGGTTTTGATATTTTTTTCCACAGTAACAGTCTGTAGTACTCTATACATGTACTAACAATCCTTCCCACAAAAATCACCATAAAGAATGAGCAAAATCATTTTGGCAAACTGTCCACCTGCTAATTGAGTTATATAGATTTCTAAATGAATGTAATATGTTAAATTGTTGCTTAAACCCTCACAAGAATGCCACAATACATTCAAAATAATGATACAGTCACATTTACAAAAAGGCATATTGGATCAGGAAATAAATCTTGATGGCTAATTTACCCAGACTATTATTGGTTTGGTCTGATGGTTTATTTTACCTGACTACTAAAAAAGCATACTGTGTATGTTTGAGGATAAATGCCTTACCAAAGGGCACTAGTGCATTCACTGGGTTACGAAGCCAGGTCCTCCCAGCTACGAGACCATTGGTCTACCACTGAACCATCGCATCTCTACTCATCAGCTTCTATCAAAATCTAGCATCTAGTGATTGAAAGTTGTTTACATCATCATAATGGTACAGACTTCATCTCTATGTTTAAAGCCAGACAATCAATTCCAGTAGAAGATGCTGCAGGTATTTCACTAGACTGACCAAGAATATTTGAAAGCAATTTACAAGATCAACTCTGAGTATGTACCTAAAAGAATTTCACAGGATCAACAGTGACAGATCTGCCACGATAACCTGTGAGCCTGAACTGTACCTAGGCTACAGCCCCTCACGCCTTGTGGATTGCCGTCGTCGCCAAGCGTTACGAACCGATCCATCAGAGCTAAAGGAGCTTGATGTGTTTTTAATGAGACCTAATCTAGCCTATCTTCAATTAGGACCTGATTAGCAAGGATGTTACATGTACTTAACCACGGCTCCATCCACAGCCTTTGGTGATGAATTATAAATGTACATGTACATGTCACATACATGTGCTATGTTGCGTTATGCGGGCAAAAATGGTGTAGAAAATAACGTGCCAAACACCATGTAGGTTCACTGAATACAAAGTGGATCAAACAATGCACTGTAAAACCAGGAACTTTCAAGTGCTTAATTGAAATGTTCGTGAATTTCGCTAGTCTTTCAGATTGACTAAAGGTTCATGTTGCAAAATATTTGATTTACAACCGACACTCTACAGAATTTTTGCAATTCGCATGACTTTCTTGCCATGTAAAGGGCCATCTTTAACATTTTATTAAAGTTTCATGTCCTGATCATGCCACTTTCTGGTGTAGACCTACATTCATTTTTCTGTATCAACTACTGATCAAAAACATCAAAACACTGAACACCTAGTATCCTCCTAGGTCAAACAACATTTTGCTGATATGTACAGTAATAGCCTTATTATGTACATGTGCTTCTACGTACCCAGGTGTCTCCACTGATAAATATATTTGATGGAATCAACACTGAAACACTAAACCTCCGTCTTTCTGCAGTTAACATCCTTATAACAAAAGGGCTTGTTATCGTCGTATTTTATCGGGTTGTGACCTTAGCAATTAGGATCAAGTCTGTAACATTCTAATAAACAAATTATTTTTTCATGATACTGAAATGATACCCTGCAATATCAGCTTTCCAAGGGGAATGAAAACCATGGTACCGGCACTATACATATACCGGTGTCTAAGTTCCCTAAAACTTATGAGCAGAATGTATTATCATACCGGTATTCAAGTGTTTCAACCTCAGTCATAAGATTGGATTTCAAAAATACATGTACAGTATTTGAAATGTTATAGGGCCTACATGTACACACTGTACATTGCCTGGAAAGTGTTCTGTGCATGTTTCATTTGCCAAGCACCAGGATGTTATCACTAGGATATCCATACAGTATACAAATGGTACTGGTATTATAGTATCAGCGTGTCCACACACAAAATAATTTATCCCGAAACTCTATAACGAAACGTCGTATAAAGAATCATCGTATAAATTTCAGAGTGTCCACACACAAGAAATGTCGTATAAATAATCATTGTATAAATACCAGGATGTCCACACACAGAAGAAAGTAATCCTGAAACTCTACAGCGCAATGTCGTATAGGTGCGCAGTTTGCTACTGCGGTCATGAAATGGAAGCGGAAATGAGAGGTCTGGTCTCCTTTCGATCAAGGTCACGTTAAGCCCCGCCCAGTTAGTTACACTAGTTACACTCCCCCTGTCCACACACAACATTTTCCGTGATTAGGCATGATTAGGCGTGATTCTTTATTGAGTTTCAGTTCGAAACGATGCCCAAACCTGCGTTTCGTTAGACTAGTTTCGTTATACGACGGATCGGTAGTGAGCGTCCACACACACAATTTTCTTTGTAAAACTATCGCGAAACGGTATCACTATTGCGAAAAGGTATAGCTAATCACGCCTAATCACGGAAAATGTTGTGTGTGGACAGGGGGTATAACAACTTTCTGACTCTCCATAGATAATATTACCTCCAACTCAACCAACCCCACAAGGCCATAATTACCCTCAAACAAAGAGCTACACATGTAGAAAGCCATTAACTATAACTTCACAGAGAGAACCGGAAGGGCACTTTAACACAGTGAAATGCCTTTCTTGCTCCTAACAGATGTTGTGAACTCCAACTAAAGCTACCCCCCCCCCCCCCCCCCTTATCACTATCACCCTCCAACAGAGAGCTACATGTACATGTACATGTATAAAGATGTTAATTGTAAATATCACTTTAAATATTTCTTCACTTCCGTGTAAGCCTACAACTTACAAGCAAAGTGTAACATCCTTCGTACTCTCAAGAGACAAGACGACATGAACTCTGACTAAACCCACCCCCTAATTAGTACCCTCCCACTGTAAAATGTCTACTACTGTCTGGCTGGCATAGGACTCTTTAATAGGAGGCTAGACCTCTGTCCAATCCATGTTACATTCCATCATGTCCTATATTCAATCAGCTGCTAATATTACCTTACCAGGAATATAGAACAGAGGCCACACTAACCCACACGCTGCCTGCCTGCACGCATCACAAAGACACACATCATAATACCCAGATGTAATCTCCTGCTTGTGTGTGTGCGTTGAGTGTTTGTTTATGCATAGATGTACTTTGGAACATGTCATGTGTTCATTTATTATGTAACTGATTGATTGATTGCAATACCCTCTTTAGCGTGAACCACATACGTCCATAAACATAAATACTAGCATGTAATAGACAGAGAAATAGGATGCTGGGTTTGGTGATCGATTCATACAACAAGAATTTTTACCTTGATTCTTTCACAGAAGTCTAAAACTACTGGTATTCAAAGTTAAACCACAAGTATTTACAATGTTCACAGAAAGACACTTAAGTATTTACAATGTTCACAGAAAGACACTTAAGTATTTTGTTATAGAGATCTATACAAATTATCAACCTACTCAAAATACAAAGACAGGTTCCAAACGGGAAAATATTGAGTTTAACCATATAGACAGACTTCCCTGAAATAGAACACAATACCCTGCACCAACTTCCTTCTGCAGAAGGCGTGGACTTTACATCTTTAAACGTATCCTGTAGATTTACTACTTCATAGAACTACACTTGACATTCCTGATTTCTTACTTTCTATTTTTCACCCATGAAAAGAGACACTGAGAATGGCCTGCAGACAAATACACTTGTCCACAATAACACATAAGAATCAACCACCGACTCTGCTCTAAACTTATGACCCCATACCTAGTCTGTCAAAAACAATTCATCCCTGCAAAATATCAAAAACTTGATCTATGGCATGGAATGGTAAACACAATAAAAGCAGGAATCTAAATACAGGCAGTGTGATCTTTTGTAAGTTTTCTGTGTTCGTTTGCTAGTGTGTAAAGAAACTTGACTATGCGTGAATGCACATCCAGGTTACATGTATCTGGGCTGGAGCCTGAAAGTCAAAAAGTAGTTTGCAAAGTTGAGCCACAGAGCAGTTGAGCAATGCAGTGTTTATATTATTCTACACCTTTTTTGTTAGTACATCCCACACTTTAATGTGTCAGTAAACACCTTACAATGTGCGTGTACAATGTGGTAGGTCCATGGTACATGAATGTGAGACGTGTGTACATTATCAAAATAAATATCCATGGTGATGATTTACACATTAGGCCCGTTCACACATAACAATTAGTGCGATTAGGATCGCGATTCAAAGATCTAATTTTTTGGTGACCGTTTACACCTTTAAAAATTACTTCTTTTTTTCTGTAGGTGTGAACGCCACCTATTAATTTTCATGCTTTTCATAAAGAACATATCACTGAACTCAGCTAGGAAGAACAAAGTTGAACAGATGTAACTTGTGAGTAATACATTTTATAACATGTAGCCTAATGACGTGTACACACGAAGCCAACACCTGTGGTAGCAAAAAGACATACAACATTTATGTAAATATTGATCAATTAAACTAAGATACGTGAAGTCGTGCACACTGCTTGGTATACATGTATCTACATGTATCGTAAAGTGCTACAAATATTATAGATCACTATCTCAATTCTCAAGCAGAGGTCATATTTATTAAACAGGGCAAGAGCGAGAAAGCTAC